AAATATTGAGAAAATCATCTTTAAAGTTGTTCAAATGAAGTTCTTAGCAATGCATATTACTAATCAAAAATTTAGTTTTGATATATTTACGGTAGGAAATTTACAAAATATCTTCATGGAACATGATCTTTACTTAATATCCTAATGATTTTTGGCATAAAAGAAAAATTGATAATTTTGACCCATACAATGTATTGTTGGCTACTGTTTCTGACGTCTACAACTAAAACGTCAGAAACAGGAAGACCAGACGCGAGTCTCGATTATCAGTAGGGCTGTAACGATTCACTCAGCTCACGATTCGATTTGATTCACGATTTTGATTTCAAGATCTGATTTTCTCACAATTTTTTTCAACAAAATGAGATTGAAGACAAATTATACAGTAAATGAAAAGGTGTCCTTTTATTAGGCTATTGCTGCACGCTTCTTTGTGAAATTGAAATATAACAAAACTAAACTGAAATTTTAAAACAAACCCCAAATCAAATAAGTAAGAAAATTAGAGGCAACCACTGCATTTTAATCATGATCCAAACAAAGATGCAGCATACATGCAGTTTTTAATCTAAATTAGATTGCATAATTTCGAAGTTTGAAGCAAAAACAGAATGGTCTGACTGTAAAACTACTAGCAGTGTAACTATTCACTCATTTTCTCGATGCATCGATTACAAACCCTGACGATGCATATGCACTTTAATTGTGAGGAAGTACACTGCAGGTACACTTTAAATATCTTGCATTTAAAGACTGATATAATTCATACAGTCCTCATCAATAGTGACATTAAAACACATTTTAGGCTTAATATTAAGAAATGTGCATTGTGCACAAGTAGCTACTCCAAATAAAGTTTAATTATAATTTTTATATTAGTAAGTCTCAAGCGATATGTCAAAGAATGTATTAATAGATTTGAACTATACTTAGTTTGAAATAAATGTATTTAAAATGCATTATTTTTTACTAGGGTAAATGCCATATGTCATGCCATTACATCATTAAACTAACATCTAACAATTGACAAAAGTGCCCTCTGACGAAGTATATAAAGAATTTAGAGGAAGCATTTTAATAATCCTGTGATTGCACTTAAAGAATGTAGAATCGAATCGCATCGAATTTAACTGTGAATCGTCTCGAATCGAATCGTTCTGAATTTGCAAAAATCGCTCTTGAATCGAATCGAAACCCTATGAATCGCGAATCGAATCGATTCGTTGTTTACCCAAAGATTCACAGCCCTAGAAACTACACATAAAACATATCTGAAGGAAACAGCAGACGTGCTGAATGAGACGCAGCGCTGTAAACAAAGCAGCGCTGCGCTTATGAACAGCAATGATACAGTGTTTCCTTGGTTACCGCTGTAAACAAAGCAGCGCTGCGCTTATGAACAGCAATGATACAGGGCAAGATGAAAAGAAAATACCATCTAAACTTTTCTAAAGACAGTCAGTTCCCCTCAGAAACACATTCATATAAACGCCTACCCCAATTGTATCGCGATTTGTTTGGCATCTCAACCGTTTTGAATCGATTTTCAACCGGCTCGCGGTTCATTGTTACACCCCTAATTATCAGTCACTCACTGCCTCCTGACGCCTGAACGCTGCTCAGACTGTTGCTCTTGGCCAGACTCGTCAGCGATTCGTGGCTCGAGCTTTCACTCAACCCGCTCCAGCTGGACTGACGAATCAGAGCCAAGTGGGGGCGGGGCTTGGACAGTACGTCTTCTGTAAACAGAAGCAGAATGTGAGAATGTGACGCTGCTGACAGCTGTCAATCACGCGCTGGAGGCGGGGCATCTCTGACCTGCGGGGGTGCTGAATGATGCGCTCCTCTGCTGCTGTTTGATTGGCTGCCTGAACTGAGCCACGGCCAATACCACGTTACGCAGCTTCGCCCAGCGAAGACGCCCTCCCTGATTGGTGGATGGCCATTTGCTCTCTAGCACCGCCTACAGACGGCAGAATAAAACACACACGCATGAGTAAAGACAAGACTTTCATCTGTACGTTATATCAGGGATTCCCAAACTCTTCCATCAGCCGAACCTCTTTGAGCTTATGCATCTCCTTAAAGACTCCCTAAGATTTTGAGTTCAAGTTTCAGTAATTTAACAACACATTCACATGTTCATAGCTCTCTTGGTTAATGGTCACATGACATGCAGCTAAACATAACTCATCTTTTTTAGTAAGTGTTTTACTTTGATTTGATTTTAAAAACATTTATCTTAAATTTGCATTTTTATGATCTAATTAATTTTACTAAATGCTTTTTTGGGTGTTTTTATTTTATAATTATTTATTTATGTTAATTTTACATTTTTATGATTTCATTAATTCTAGTAAATTTTTCTGGTGTTTTTTATTTTTAAATTATGTATTTTAATTTGACATTTTTATTATTTAAAATTTAGTACTTGTTTTTTTAAATGATTAATTTATTTTTATTTTATTTTTTATATTTTTATAACTTATTACAATTTTAGCAAATATTTTTGGTGGCTTTTATTTTTACATTAATTATTTATTCCAATTTTACATTTTTATGATTTAATTTTTAGCAAGTGTTTTTTTTTTATTGTTGTTTTTTTTTAATTATTTATCTGTTTTAATTTTACATTTTTATGATTGAATTAATTTTAGTAAATGTTTCGTTTTTTATTAAATTATTTTAATATTACATTTTTATTATATGAAAAATAGTGTAATGTTTTTTGATCATTTTTAATTTAAAACCATTTTATCACAATTTTAGATTTTTAGATTTTAGATTAGATTTGAAAATGATTCATTTAAATTGTATATTTTTATAATTTAATGAATTATCAGCTTTTCATCAACTCATGAACCCCGGTTTGGGAAGCCCTGTGTGATCTCATTAATATGAAGTACGTCACTTTATTGTAGTATCCGTATGTGATGGTGTTGGGTGTAATTCCCGCCCGCTTCATCTCCAGCAGAACTCTGACCGCGAGAACCGGCTGACCGTACTGACCGCACAGCTGCATGAGGATACGGTAACACACCTGCGACACACACACACATCAGGAGCGAGACAAACTACAACACACTTACTGCGTCTACATCATATCACTAGTGCATTATACAATACAGATCGATTCAAAATCTGTGTTTGTGTGTGCGCGTGTGTGTATGTGTGTTGTGTGTGTGTGTGTGTGTCTGTGTTTGTGTCTGTGTGTGTGATAGTGTGTGATTGTGATAGTGTGTGTGTGTGTGTCTCTGACCTCGTCTGGCAGCACCACCTTGCGTGTCTCCATGTGTTTGAGCACCTCGTATGCGGCGTGCAGCGCTCGGACTTTAGTGCTCTCTGCTCTGACGAATGTTGGTAAGCAGATGAACCAGAGTCCGTAGCAGTGACCCAGCAGGCATTTGGACCACATCTCCGGCACCGTCGAAACCGTGAACATGTACTTGCGTGCTTTCATGTTGTCATGTCTTATGTGAACACGCGGCTTATGAGTATTCTTATTAGCTGCGTGTTCGTGTCTTGTTTTGTTCAAGCACATGGCTTGTGATTGTTTTGCTGGCTATGTGCTTGTGTTTTTGTTTCGTGTGAGCACATGGCTTTTTGTCTTTGTTTTCTGTGTGCCATGTGCTCTCAAGTCTATTGTCTTGACCCCGCCAATCTTGTTTCCTGATTATTGGTTAATTTGCCTCACCTGTGTTTCCCTCATTACCCTCCTCATTTGCTCCCTATTTATTCTCCTTGTGTTTGCAGTCCTGGGCCAGTTCGTCATCGCATGTATCCTGTCATGTCCTGTCTGCCTTGCCAAGCCTGGTTACCAGCCTGTTTTCCCCTACGGAGTAGTTTTGGTTTGTTTTGTTTTATTTTTGCAAATAAAAGCCCATTCTCCTGCATCAGTGAGTCCTCACCTCATCCCTTCATCCCCTACCCTGACAAAAAGTGGCAGAACGGAACGTTATTGAAGATGACATCACTGAATTCAATGATGAACTGCCTTTAACTGAAAATTGAGTGTTTACTATTGTCCTTCTGCATTATTGACACACTATTTTCCTATTTAATACTGTACAGCTGCTTTTGACACAATCTGTATTGTTATAAGCGCTTGATAAATAAAGGTGACTTGACACAGACACACACAGGTGATACAGGAGCGATCTGATTGGCCGCTGCGGTCAGGTGACTGCAGGTGAGCGTCTGACCTTCTGCACGCACTCGTCGAAGAACTCGAGGCAGCCGTGGCGGTCGCTGACGAACGAACACTCCTCGATGAACTGCGTGAACATCTGCGTCTTTGTGAGCTGCGTGTAAAACTTCTGCTGCGTTCGATCGCGAGACTTCAGGAACCCTGAGAAACACCCGGAGAAAACCATCAACCGTCATCTGCTGAATCAAACCAATGTTTCTTACTAATTATAGGCTGCTGGTTCCAGAAATAGTGTCTGTTTTGCTCTTTCACAACACACTTTCTCACTAAACATGATATCATTTTGTAGCATTTTAGTTTTTGAGAATCATTGGTGTGTGTGAATTAATCTTGTATTATCTCCTAATCAGCAGAAAAACACACAAACACATGATTCCTGTCTGAATCGGAGCCACAGTACAACCATCAGATCAATTCTCGGTCCGTTTTCACATGCACGACATTATTTAATATCTAATCCTGATTTCAAGGACAGAATTATGATCCAGAGACAGAAGAAAACGCAAACATGAGCAGATGTTTCTGCTGTTACTGCAGCCAAACAGACACAGAAAAGCTTTTTATTTATAAACTTGTGTTTTTGTATTAAATGACGTATTTTAAAATTTTTCCACTCCTTTGCAGAAGTTAAATGATTCATTTTGAATGCTTTTTGTCATTAAATGCAAAACTTCAGACATTTGACAGCTTTTATCTTTATAAGTGCATTGGCTGATGTAATTTTAATAATGTAATTTAATAATGTATATTAATGCATAATCTAATTTATAATTTGAACAATTCTTATTTTAAGATAACATTTTATTTTTACATTTATATATTTTTATTTATTTCTAATTTTAGTTAAATTAAAAAAAACAATTTTTATTGTTTTGTCCCTTATATTCGTTTTTTTATGTCTATATAGTTTTTATTCTATTTTAAATTGTAGTTTTAGCTATTTAGTTTCTGCAACTGAATAAAAAATGAAAAATTGCGACTTTTTTCTCACAATTTTGCATTTTTTCTCGCAATTTTGAGATATAAACTCACAACTGCTAGTTTTAAAATCCAATTCTGAGAGGAAAAAAGATTATTTTCTTACAATTGCTTTTTTTTTTTTATTATTGCATGATATAAATTTGCAATCCTGAGAAATAAAGTTGCAACTGTAAGAAAATACTAGTCTTTCTTCCCCTCAGAATTGGACTTTATAACTCGCAATTACGAGTTTATATCTCACAATTCTGAGAAAAAGTCACAGTGAACTTTTTTCATTAGTTTATTCAGTGTTGGAAACAGACTTCCATAACTTTTAGTTAGTTCGTGAAGTTAAACTAAATAAAAATGTTGCCATGGCAACCAGCTGAAATAAAACGGGTTTCACTGATACTTCTGAAGGGTGTTTGTGTCCTGACCCTGCAGGTGGAAGAGCGAGCTGCAGTCCGTGGTTCGGTCGGAGGGCGCTTGTGTGATGGGCAGCAGGAAGGATCGGTATCCTCTCAGCAAACAGCTCATGAAGCGCAGGAACGCCTCCTGGATCTCCAGCTCCAGCTGCTTCTGACGGCCGTAGATCAGATCGTAATCCGTCAGCAGGAACTCCAGCGTGGCCTCCTCCTGACCCGGAGTATAGACTGATGGACCGAGAGAGAGCGTGTGAGGACAGGAAGTGACATCATCAGTCAGAATGTGTGTGTGTGTGTGTGAGACGCTCACTCACTCTTCTCCAGAGTTTTGTGCAGGTTGGACAGAGAGTTCAGCAGGATTTTCCCATGTTTCCTCGGCAAAGACCTCCAGGACAGAGGCTTCTTATCTTCAGACCTGGAGACGAAAATACTGTATTAATACAGTATATACATACTAATACAGTGATAAGATATATAATAATATATACAGTATTATCAAAATTAATGTAAAAATTGTGAAATATTATTCTAATGTAAACCAGCAGTTTTCTATGTGAATATCTGTTAAACTGTAATTTATTTCTGTGATGCGCAGCTGTATTTTCAGCATCATTACTCCAGTCTTCAGTGTCACATGATCTTCAGAAATCATAATAATATGCTGATTATTAGAAACATTTCTGATTATTATCAATGTTGAAAATACTGTGATGCATTTTATTTTTCAGGATTCACAGATGAATAGAAATTTAAAAAGAACAGCGTGTATTTAAAATAGAAATCTTTTGTTGCATTATACAGTTTTTTTCAACTGCTTACACACATTTTCAAAACTTTGCCTCTTTTTTTCAAAACTTTACAGAGAAATCCAAGAACTGCACACAAAATGCAAAAAGCCTCGCATCTCTTGCAAAACGAAGCACTGCATTCAAAATAATAGAGATTTGTGTTGTGTTTTGCAAAAAGGTGTTTTATGAAATGAAAAAGTCAAAGACCGAGAATCAGTGTATGGTTTTGCAGATTTGGTGTGTGCTTCTGCTGTTTGAGTGTCAGCTTTCAGAAACTGTGTGACGAGTGAAGAGTTAGTGTGTAAGCAGCTGTAAAAAGTGTAACTGTGTTCACAGGAAGACTCACTGGAAGATGGTGTTGGTGTCCAGATCCACACACACCACGTCAGTCGGCGGATCGTAAAGCTCGAAGTAGCTGGAGTGGACGCCCACGATGAAGGGCATGGGCGCGCACAACACATCTGCCATCCGCAGCGGACACAGCGGGATATACGGACAGTGCCAGCGCAGAGGAAACGGCATCTGACACAGGAAACGACCGTCACATGACCGGCAGAGACAGGAAGTCACACCGACTGATGAACTTACACTGGCACTCAGGGATGCATGAGAATGGCTAAACGATAAATCTCTACACTGCAAAAAGTGCTTTTCTTACTTCGATTTTTTGTCTCGTTTCCAGCCAAGATATCTAAACATTCTTAAATCAAAGATTTTCTAGACAAGTCAAAATTAGGTGAGTTTTTGATTTGATTTAAGAATTTTTTTTTGATATCTTGGCTGGAAACAAGACAAAAAATCGAAGTAAGAAAAGCACTTTCAGAAATCAAGAAAACATCAACTCGAGTGGTTTGATGTGAAAGAAGCAGAGATCAATAAACTCAAAGTTACACGTTTGTTGATGTTTTCAGATCATCAGCACTTTTTATATACTTTTATGTATTTGCAGTGAACTGACTGGATTTATTTTTCTATTAGATCAGTGATTCTGAACCGGGAGCCTCAAGAAGAATTAAAATAATTTAAAATAAGACAAAACAAAGTTTAAAACATTAAAAAAAAAATCAAAATGTAATTTGAATAAATTCTTATTTTATTTTATTTTGAATTTTTTTTGTTTAATTTTAATTTAGTTTTTAAACTATGTTTTTAAAGAATATTTTTAAGTTTTTTTTTTTTTTTTACATTTTAAAAAATGTGATTTCTAGACCTAAAATACCAAAATAAACAAAATATTAAAAATTCATGGAAGTTTCTTATTAATTTGCTTATTGTAAATAAAAATACATATATATATATTTTTTTTTTTTTCAAAATTCTTATCTAGTAATCAAGTTTAAAACATTAAAAAAATCCAAATGTAATTTGAATAAATTCTTATTTTAATTAATTTTGAATTTTTTTGTTTAATTTTAATTTAGTTTAATTTGTTTTTTAAGAATATTTTAAAGTTTTTTTTCTTAATTTTTAAAAATGTGATTTCTAGACCTAAAATACCAAAAATACCAAAATAAACAAAATATTAAAAATTCATGGAAGTTTTTTATTAATTTGCTTATTGTAAATAAAAATACATATATATATTTTTTTTCCAAAATTCTTATCTAGTAATCAAGTTTAAAACATAAAATAAATCAAAATGTAATTTGAATAAATTCTTATTTTAATTAATTTAGAATTTTTTTGTTTAATTTTAATTTAGTTTTTAAACTATGTTTTTAAAGAATATTTTTAAGTTTTTTTTTTTTTTTTACATTTTAAAAAATGTGATTTCTAGACCTAAAATACCAAAATAAACAAAATATTAAAAATTCATGGAAGTTTCTTATTAATTTGCTTATTGTAAATAAAAATACATATATATTTTTTTTTTCCAAAATTCTTATCTAGTAATCAAGTTTAAAACATAAAATAAATCAAAATGTAATTTGAATAAATTCTTATTTTAATTAATTTAGAATTTTTTTGTTTAATTTTAATTTAGTTTAATTAGTTTTTTAAGAATATTTGTAAGTTTTTTTTTCTTAATTTTTAAAATTGTGATTTCTAGACCTAAAATACCAAAAATACCAAAATAAACAAAATATAAAAAATTCATGGAAGTTTTTTATTAATTTGCTTATTGTAAATAATAAAAAAATATATATAAATAAATTTTAAAAAATTATATATATATACAAAAATTTTATCTAGTAATCATGATCAAATGGATTAAAACAAATAATTTTATTAATTTTTAATAAAAAAAATTAAAATGTCATTTGATCTTAATTCTTGTTAATAATTGATTGTTAATTAATTATTAGTTTAATATTGATTTAATGTTTTATTTATTTTTTAAAAAACTGTGATTTTTATTTAAACCTTCACATTTCTGAACAAGTTATTTTATTATATGTTAAAAATCACTGTTCAGTAATCATGATCAACTGGATGATCCACCTGGTCAAAAAGAGCAAGAACAATCAGCTCTTCAAACTTCTAGAATCACACTGAATTATTTTAACCTACGGACCGTCTACGTTTCAGTAAATAGAATAGCAGCTTTACAGCTGAAGCACCAGAGGAAATATATAATATAACTCCAGCTAACAGTTTTCAGATCATCAGCGCTTTTTCAGTATTGTAGAGAGAGTGTGTGAATGGTTTATGGGAAGATAAAGTAAACCAGTAGGCAATGCATTGATTTAACCTGTTAACTGTTGGTTCCACTTTTTGAGCATAGACCTGAAAATGACATTTCCAACTTAAATTGTTATAAATTGTGCTTTGGAGCACAGACTTAAGGTTGTCTCTTTTTAAAGAAGACACTTGGCAGATTATTGTACAAGTGAAAAAAGTTATGGAAGTTTAAGTTTATGAAAATATAAAATGTAAAAATTAAAATATTTATATTTGACATAAAATATATATTTTTACAAAACACGTTTTACTCTAAAACTAGAAAATTACAACCAAAAATCTGAACAAGTTGTGTTTCAAATTTGAAGTTGATATCTTAAAAAATGAGCTTTCGGTGAGATTTTGTTTGGACGCAGTACCAAGCTTTTCCACTAGATGACCATCAAACCCTATTAGTAACCATATAAGGGCGCCTTCATTTCCATATACGGTTTGAGTGATCCGAAACATGTTTTTCCATACTTTTCTCAATAATTATGAAGTAGACATCACATTCAGAAGTATTAAGGGCAGTATGGCAGTATTTGATTTCAATGCAACCTCTAAATAACACATAAAAGACATACGACGAGAACCTTAGGCCTATGTTACAGTTCACGCTGCATCAATAATAGAGAATCTATTGTTTTTTTCTTTATATTCAAAACACTTTTAGACCTTTTTGTCTCCTAAAATAGAATGGATGTTATCTTTTGAACACTTGACATGAATGGAGGTTTTTCATGATTTTTCATGATTTCATAACAGCATCACTATTGCAAAGTAAAGGTCAGAACTCGCTCTCCGACTCTGATGAGTACTCTTCTTGCAAATTAATAAATTACAGTTGCTCTGTAAAATATTTAAAAAAATTAGTCACCAAATATGAAAACTAGAGTCTTTAAGCTTTCAAACGATATATAGTTTGTCAAGATTACTTTAGGTTCAGACTAAGATATTAATGTTTAATACGTAATGAAAAGTGACAGTGAATAGGTTTTTAAGAGAAAACTTGATCTGAATAATGACACTGCTGTCTGAATCAGAACTGAAGCACAGTGGAGTTCCGTCACTGATTCGGTCCTCGTCTGTGTTGTATGAGGCGCTGTAGAGATGAGTGTGATGTGTGCTGGACTCACGGAGACGAGCGCTTCGCTGACGGACGTCAGAACATCGGGCCGCAGCGAGTGCAGCAGCAGCTTGTGTTCGGTCAGAACCGCCAGCAGCAGCGAACACGCGTTCTCAGGACCCAGATTCTGCAGCAGCTTCACAAAACTGGCCCCACTGAGAGCAGAGCATCAGCCAATCAGAACACAGAGCACAGACGCAGCAGCCAATCAGATCATCAGCAGAAGAACTCACCTGAGCGGCAGCGGAGATGACACGGGCTGACAGAGCAGCAGATTATCATACGAAGAGAGCTGAGGACACACAAACACACAGTTAATACACACTCTCTCTATCTCTCACACACACACACACAGTTAATACACACTCACACACACACACTCACACACACAGTTAATTCCGAGGACGCTGAGCGGACGGGAACGGGACGTTGTGCATGAAGCTTGAGATGTGCCTGCAGACAGATCACAGTTAACACGAGTCAGTTCATCTCTTTAAACCTCTTCAACATGAGTATTCACTGCACACAACATCATGACTTCAATTCAAGATTATTTATTCAGCTTCCATACGATGTATACATCTCAATTTCTAAAAATTGACCCATATGACTGGTTTTGTGCTCCAGCGTCTCTTATAATTATGGTTATAATAATTGTTATTTTAAAGAAAAAAATATTTCAATACAATATAATGAATTCAACAACAGGTAAACAAGTCTTGCCTTTTTTCATTCAATATTCTTGCAAATGTCACATTACAGAAATGTGATGCGGGTTTCACACTGACTCTAAATCAAGAAAATACATCCTTTAAAATACAGTTCAGCCAAAAACTGCCAAGAATTCTGTCATCATTCACTCATTCCAAACCGGTATGACTTTATTTCATCAGTGAAACACTAAAGAAGATATTTTACAGATCACTGACAAAATAATGGAAGCTTGTTTCAGCCACAGAAGAAAAAAAGAAAAAAAGTAATTGTGACTGTATCTCATAATTCTGACTTTATTCCTGCAATTATGAGAAAAAAGTCAGAACTGCTGGATATAAACTCAGAACTGTGAGTAAAAATGTAAGACTTGGAAGATAATAAGTAGAAATGACCTTTTTTATTTTTTATTCTGTGGTAGAAACAAATAAAAGCAGAACTGTGAGACGCAGAATTCAGAGGGTTAGTCTTTCAATTCTGTGTTGATATCTCAAACTTCTGACTTTTTCTCAGAACTGCGAAAAACAAAGTCACGATTAAAGATAAAAAGTTGCAATCACATTTTTTTTATTCCAATTCTGAAAATATCTTCTTTTGTGTACCAGTGTTCATTCTTTGACATTTTTAAAAATTTTGTTTCTAAACTTAAAAAAATTAAATCTCAAAAAGTCATAGAAGTTTTTTTTTAATATTATTATTAATCTGCTTACAGTATGTAAAAAAATATTTAAAAATTATTTTCAACATCCATCAACTGGATGATCAACTTAGTCAAGAAGATCAAGAACCCTGAACATAGTTTAGCTCTAGAATCACAAAATTCATTTTTTTAAATAATTTTAACCTACAGACAGTCCAAGTTTTAGTAAATAAAAAACACATCTATACAGAGATGCATAGATGGTCAAAAAGATGAATTAGAAAAAGCATCATTTCAACACTGATGTCAAGCACATTGTTAGAAGTTAAATGCAGTAAAAATCTAGTTCATGAAGTTATCCCAATAAATGAACAAGTCTCAGCAAATCAGAAAAGCCGTCACACAGGTCTGAGTGTCGTGATCAGTGGTGTGTTCAGGTGTGAGCATCACTCACTTCTCCAGCGGCAGCACATGCGGTCCAGAGATGGAGTATCTGTAGATGAAGGTGAGGAACTTCTGGAAGACGCTGAAGAAGGGCCAGTGTGAGAGAACGCAGATGCTCTTCTTGACCTGAACGCTGCGGTTGGTGATGGGCCGCCGGTCCACGACACTCAGCAGACCCAGACGCACACACTGACGCTCCGACAGAGACTCGCGCGGGTACGCCTCGTAGAACTGGATCGCAGCGCCGTACACCTGACCCACACACACACACGTTTGTTTCTGTGAATCGTGGGGACTTTCCATAGACTTCTATTACTTTTATACTGACCAAACAATATTTTCTATCCCCTAACCCTAAACCTACCCCTTACAGAAAACCTGTTTGCATTCTTACACTTTCAGATAAACATCATTTACTATTTTTAATCATTTTTTTCCCTCGTGGGGATCACAGGCCGCTAGAAATCTTTTGTAACATTATAAATGTCTTTACTGGCACTTTTGATTTTTTTTGTTAGTTGTTTTATGCTGAATAAGCAGTGGGACGGACCTTGTCTCCGGAGGCGCTAGTCAGGACGAAGGTGGAGAAGATGGGCAGCTGGTATTTAGTGTTGAGCGGCCAGCTCTCTACCGTCACACCCATCGGCAGACAGAAGACCGGAACAGAGTCCGGCAGCGGAAACGACTCCAGATCCTCCTCAGGATAGCGACTGATCAGACCTGAACACACACACACACAACACAGAGAGAGAGACACAAACACAGAGAGACACACACACACACACAAACACAGACACAAACACACACATTCAAAGAGAGAGAGACACATGTGCTTACAAACTCCAGACAGAGTGAGTGTGTGTGTGTGTGTGTGTGTGTGTGTGTCTATTAGTGTCTCTATTAGTGCTACTGGATCTTAGCGCTGGGTTCGACACTATCGACCACAACATTCTTTTGAATAGAGACTGTTATGCTGATGATACTCAGCTCTATATTTATTCGCGGCCCGGCGAAACATACCAATTTGAAAAACCAGCGGAATGCATAGTCGATATAAAAACTGGATGACGAGTAATTTCTCACTGCTAAATTCTGAAAAAACAGAGGTGTTAGTTATCGGATCTAAAACCTCCGCACGTAATAACCTAGAACACTGTCTAAGACTCGATGGCTGCTCTGTTAATTCTTCGTCATCAGTTAGGAACCTAGGTGTGCTATATGATAGCAATCTTTCCTTAGAAAGCCACGTTTCTAGCATTTGTAAAACTGCATTTTTCCATCTCAATA